ATTTAGATAAAAGCCTAAATAAATAATTGAAAAATTTTTTACACTGAAAGCTATAAATCATCAACTCAGTGAAAGAAGATACAAATAAATGGAGAAGCTCAATAGTGTTATTATATCTACAAACAACAACCATTTACTGATCTATTGTAATCTCTGTTAAAATGTCCCAATCCTTCTTGGACCAATATAGATGATATTCCAGAACTCATAAAAATGAAGAAAGAACCTGAATAAAAAAGATACCTTCGGACCAGGGAGATGGCTCAGTAGAATAAGTGCCTGCCTGGCAAGCACAGGGTCCTGAGTTCAATCCCTGGTACCACCAAAAAAAAAAAAAAAAAAAAAAAGAAACCTTCAAAAGGGGAGGATAAAGCTGAAAATATCTTTATTTATTTCAATATTTTTCTTAAAGTAACAGTAGTTAAAAGAATGTAGCTTTCTTAAAAGTAACTTTAAAGAAATCAGAAAAACAACCCTTTTTGTAATTACCCACACAAAAACAAAATATTGATTAGAATTGAAAAATTTTACAATTAAAACACCATACTTAAATAGGCATAGACAACAGAACAGAATAATGAGTACAGAAATAAGGCCATGCATATATGGCCAAATTCTCTTTGAAAGAAGTACCAAAAACAGAAAATGCAGAAAGAAAAAAACACTTCAACAAATGGTATTAGGAATATTGCATATCCACATGTGAAACAATAATATTGGACGCATATTGTAATGCCATTATTATAAATATTTAATGGGTAGAATGTCAAAAACAAGTGATAAAAGCAAAAATGGAGAAGTAGAGCACAAATAAGGCAAGGGTCATCACAAGAAGGGAACAACAGTGTGAACAGAAAGCCTATGGCAGAGAAAAAATATAAGAAGTATTTAATTTCCAATATATTTAAGGAATGTCTACAATTCAATAGTAAAAATGTGGGGTTAAAGGGGACAGAATAAGGCCAAGGAGATAGCTCAGCGCCATGGTGTCCCAGCTCCCTGGACCAGCCACCCAGACCAGTAGGATGGAGCACGTCAGTAATCCCAGGATTAAGGAGGCTGAGAACAGGAGGATCACTACTAGTCAGCTCTGTGTAGTGAGACCCTGTACCAAGTACATAAAAAGAAAAGAACAACACAAAACAAAAATAGAGTGAGACAATGTGTCACAATTTTATGATGGATTTTTAAATATTATTTAATTTTATCTTTGGTTTGTTTACGTTTGATTTTAGTACAGGTTTGCCATCCATAACTAATATCATTCATTGTGGAACATTGCATTAGTTCAATACACATCACCTTAATTGTTTAAAATTTTTTTTCATGGCCTTCCCTCTCCCAGTCCTTTCATCATTTCATCCCATTCTGATTTGAGAAAACTATTTTAAGAAAAAAAAAATTGTTGGAATACTAATGAGAAAGGGAATCTTTGTAAACTGCTGGTAGGAATATGAAATGGGACAAGCACTATGAAAAATAGAATGGATGGTCACCAAAAGTTAAAAATAGAATTTAATATAATTCAACAATGCCATCACTGGATTTTTAGCTGAAACAATTAAAATTCTTTTGTGTAAAGATTTTAACCCCCACTTGTACATTTTATCATTATTCTTAATAGTCAAACTGGAGAAAAAAAGCTATGTGTCCCTTGATGGAGATACTGAATTTTTTTTAAAAATAGCATATATGAAAAATGAGATATTAGTCTTAAGAATAAATCCTGAAATATATGACAATGTTAATGAATTTGTATGACATAAATTTAGGTGAAATAACAGGTCACAATTAGAAAAATACTTCTAATTCCAATTGATAGTGTATCTGAAAAGAGTGAAAATGTATTGAATCAATAAATATGTCATTTCAAGAGCCTGCATGAATTAAGAGGGAAAAGTAGAGTTTTTATTCAACAGACATAAAATTTTAGCTGTGCAAGATGAATAAGATGCACATATATGTTGAAAAATACTGTAATCATAAGTAACAGTAATGCATTGTGTACGTACCAATTTGGTAGATCTCTGTTAACAGTTATTATAATTTAAAAGAGAGCTCTTTACATTTTCATTATATTATTTTGAGTTTTAATAAATACAGAACATGACATGGACATTATGGTATTTCTGGATCTGAACAAAAAGACAGTTTTGAGAAAAAGCTTAAGAATGATGACTTGGATTATGATACTTGTTAATTTCTGTATGATAAAACATAGATAAGAGGTTTTCAAATTTTGATGATCCAGAGTACAAAAATTAAACTTGGACATTCAAAAGCTACTACACAGGTTTTGCAAATTGACTTCCAAATAAATAATTTTTGTATAAAATTTGCACTGACAGTCTTGAACAAATGAAAGATGGAGAAAATAAAAATGAAAATGACAATGTCTAATAGCATTTAAAATATTATATGATATAGAGTTGGGGAAATAGCTCGACGGTAAATGCCTGCTAGCAAACGTGATGTTCCAAGTTCTATCCCTGGTACTACATGCTGTGCAGGTTGGGGACGCGGGATGCATACTGTGTGCCCCCAAACTGGATGTGGTGGCACACATGTGCAATCTCAGCCCTGAAGAGGCTGAAAACAGGAGGATCACTACGAGTCTGAGCTGTTTGGTGAGGCCCGTAACAAATAAATAAAATATTAAAAATAACATATTATATGATATGTATGATATAGAGTATTGTAGAAATGATTCAGAATGTGGAAACAATTAAGTGCATAGAAACTAATATAGAATTGAGAGACATGACAGAAACAGCAAAGAAGTACATAGTTATGGATATGAAGAAAAATGAGCAAAAGGTGAAAAATAAAACATGTAAGACAAGTCATACGGCAAAAACAAACCGTGTATCTGAAATAAAAACATAACTGAGAAATCATGTTTGATTACATGAAAATAAATTATTAAAATGTAGAGAGCTGCACACAGCCGCGCCCCAAAGATGGCGCTGG